CAGCAGCAGCAGCAGCAGCAGCAGCACCTATGCTGCTGATGGTGGTGCCTTTTCCGAGGCCGCTCATGGTGCCGCCAGTGACGACGAGGTACTTCATTTTGAGGCCCGCGGCTTGCGCGCAGGAGGGGGGGGTTTGCTGGCCCGAGTGCGCCATTTCCACAAACCCTAAACCCTGAACCCTAAACCCTAAACCCTAAACCCTGAACTCGAGCCCTCAGCTCTCAGTCGTGGACCCGCCGAGAAGGAGGCGGGAGAGGGAAGAAGCACACAAAGGGGCCTGGAGGCGCGCGGGGTGCTCTGCGCCTCCAAACCCTAAACCGTAAACCCTAAACCCTAAACCCTAAACCCTAAGCCCTAAACCCTAGGCAAATTCAGCTTTTCACTTTGAAAGGAAAAACACAAATTTACACAGACCCCTTTCCCTCCCTACAGAGCCGCTGTGGGGCAAACATGACCCCCGCCGCCGGCGCTGGCCTTCCCGGCCGCCGTCTGGGGCTGTTCGGCCCTTCCAAGTTCTAAATTTTAATTCTTTTCAAATCTAATTGTATTTATTTCGCAATTCTGATTTTTTAGATCCTTTTTGCGCCGATTTACGTGTAAATACACCACAGTCCGCAAAGAACGCTGCTCCCCGCATGCAACCCCGCCCCCCAAGCACGGGAGGTCTTCTAAAACAACCCCACTGAAATCCGCTTATTTAATTTATTTAAATTGAACTAATCCAATTTTCAAAAATAAGCCGGCGAAACTCGGGGAAATGCGGCCACATGTTCGAGGGTTTAGGGTTTAGGGTTTACGCGCTGGGTGACTCGACCACAGCAGAGTGAAACCACGCCTCTAGGGTTTGCATTCCCCAGCCGCCACTTAACGGGTGAGGGTTTTAATTTAAAGTTTGAGGGTTTAGGCGGCGCTGGGAAATTAGGGTTTAGCGCTCAGCCCGCCTGCGTGCAGGGATTAGGGTTTGGGGTTTACGATCTGCAAGGCCTAAGGTTTGGGCTGTGTATTGCCTGGGGTTTAAACTGACGAGGGTTTAGGGTTTAGGCGGTCTCAGCTGCCTTGCAGCAAATAAGAAGAATGGGACTTTGATGAAGAAAATGGAGGGTTTAGGGTTTAGTGTTTACGGCATCGGGTTTTCAGGGTTTTGTAGGCGTGAAGGTTTAGGGTTTAGGGTTTAGGCAAGTTTTACGAGCCCTTGTGTGTCGCTTCTGTTCCTTCGACGCCAGATGAACCTTGGCAACTCAGGTTCTCGAGCGTTCAGGGTTTAGGGTTTAGGGTTTACTACGAGTGAGGCAGCGTGAACGAGGCACTAGCTAGGGTTTAGGTTTTAGGGTTTACGGTTTAGGGTTTAGAGGCGCTATAGGTGTTCGCATACCAGAGAGGGCCCCGCGAAGCCTTTTTTTGTCTAAAATTCATTTAAATTAAAAGCAGCTTTTAAAGCGCGTACTTCTTTTCTATTTTCGTTTGCATGCACTGCATGCGTCGCTTCTTTTGGGGCTTTTTTTTGTTTTTGTTTTTTTGTTTTTTGTTTTTTGAGGTGTATGTACACCTCAAAATGGCTGCAGCAGCGGCGCCTCAGATGCTGCTGTGGGGGGTACAGAGAGAGCAGCTAAAACGCGCAGGCTGAGGGGCCCCACACTGCTTGCTGGGCGCACCAGCTGCTGCTGCTGCTGCTGCTGCCGCTGCTGCTGCTGCTGCTGCTGCTGGGAGGTGTGGTGGCTGCGGTGCTGGTGGTGGTGGTGGTGGTGGTGGTGGCGGTGCCGCCCTGAAGCCAGTGAAGAAGCAAGCTGGTAGACTTGCTGCTGGTGCTGCTGCTGCTGCTGCTGTAGCAGCTGCTGCTGGGTCAGAGCTGCTGTTGCAGCGACACCCGCTGCAGCTGCGGCCTCTGCTGCAGCTGCTGCAGCTGCTGCAGCAGCAGCTCTTGCTTGCCCCCGCTGCTCGTGCACGGCTGCGCTGCTGCTGCTGCTGCTGTGCTGCTTCCACTTCGAAGAGGGGGAGTAGGCGCCGGCAGCAGCTGCTGCTGGGGCCAGTGTCACGGTTGCTGCTGAAGGTGCTGCTGCTGCTCCAGCTGCTGCTGCTGCTGCTGCTCTGGGGTATTCCACATGCCCTGCATCAACTTCAGTTGTTGGGTCGCCTTCGTCGGGGACAGAGCAAGAGACACTTGAAGGCTCACTTGAGCTGCCCAAAGGGGACGCAGCAGCAGCAGCAGCTGCTGCTGCTGCAGCCGCGCCAGCAGCAGCAGCAGCAGTAGCACGCGATGCTGCTGCTGGTGGTGGCGGGCTTTGGGTTGCGCCTTTCCAGCCCTCAGTAGCTTTGAAGGGGGCCTCTTTGAGGCTCTCTAGACGGTTCTGTTGCTGCTGCTGCTGCTGTTGCTGCTGCTGCCGCACATGCTGCTGCTGCAGCTGCTGCTGCTGCAGCTCGCGGGGCCCCAAAGTGCTGGGGCCCATCGTAGACCCCAAAAAAAGGGCCCTCGTCAACGGCGGCAAATATATGGCAGTGCTGTCGTCTGGCTCCTCTTCAGAACAAATTGCACAGCAGCAGCAGCAGCAGCAGCAGCAGTAGCAGCGACACATTTAATACACGCAGCGACATGACCAGCAGCGGCGGCGCAGGCGCAGAAGGAAAGGGGTCAGGGTAGCAGCAGCAACAAAACAGTTCCACAGCAACAGCAGTAGAAGCAGCAGCAAGGCAGCAGCAGCGAAGCAGTAGCAGCAAAGCAACAGCAGCAGAGCAGCAGCAGCAAAGTGGCAGCAGCAAAAAGCTCGAATTAGCTGTGTCTCCTAGAAGCAGCAAGAGAAGCCCCACTCACCACCCGAAAAGTCTTCCTCGGCCTCTCGATGACGCCTTCTGTGGCTGCTGCCCTTGCTGCTGCTGCTGCTGCTGCTGCTGCATGCTGTGCAGCCCCTAGCAGCAGCTTCTCTGGGGGCCCCAAGACGCAGGGGCCCCACAGTAGGGGCCCTAAAGGCTGCAGTTGACCGCAGCAAAGACTGTACAGTTCTCTGCAGCAAAAAGGAAACAAATTAATTCTTTTTAATTCTTTTTCTGAAACAACAGTATTTCTCTTCAATTCCTTTTCTCCTTTTCCCTTTGCTGCTGCCTAAGGCCAGCCTCCTGGGGGCCCTGGGGGCCCCTCGGCCAGCTCTGGGGCCCCCCAGGACCCACTAAGAAGCAGGGGGGCCTCCAGGGCCCCCTAAGGGCCCAATTGGGAGGCAGGAGGCCCCCTGGGGGCCCCTGTGGCTTTGTCTTTGCTGCCTCTCTTGGGCCTTTTCATGTCTCTATTTTTATGTCCTATTTTTGTTTGGCCTGCTTGTTTGGGTTTGCTGCTGCTTTAGTGGCGGCTTCTGCTGCTGCTGCTGCTGCTGCTGCTGCTGCACTTTTGCATACCTTTATTGAAGTCACTTCGCGGGTGTTGGCCTCCAGCCGCCGCGACACAGCAGCAGATGCCTCAGCCAGAGCAGCTTGCTGCCGAAGCAGCTGCAGACAGCAACAAAACGCAGCAGCAGCAGCAGTAGCAGCAGCAGCAGCAGCAGCACGCTTCCACACGTTTCTGTGCAGCAGCAGAACCACCAAACTGTACCCACAGAAACAGCAGCAGCAGATGGCTGCACAGGCACAACAGGGGCAGCAACAGTCTCCACAAGCAATAGCAGAAGCAGCTACTTGTAACGGCAGCCGCAACAACAGTAGCAGCAGATGGCCTAGCAGCAGCAGCAGCAGCAGCAGGAACGGGCCCATAGGCCTCGTCAACGACATACACTTTTCTATAAAGGGAAAACAAACTTGGATCCTTTGCGAGGGATTCGTGTGCATAAAACTCAAGAAAAAGTTACGGCAGCAGCAGCAGCAGCAGCGGCGGCAGCACGTAGCAGCAGTAGCGGGCAGCAGCAGCAGCAGCCAGCAGCGACAGGCCACTGCAGCGGCAGCAGCAGCGGCAGAAGCGGCAGCAGCAGCAGATAACGTTTGGGTGCATGCACACACTTTCGAGTGTACAAGGAGATTCGTGCGCCTTTCATGCCTCCTTTGCTTCTCTTCTGCTGCTGCTGCTGCTGCTGCT